CGTCCATGATCACTCTTAGGCTTCTCTCTGATATTAGTAGTGAAATTAGATAACTACTTTCATTTCTCGACACTACCGATAAAATCGCATATTGGTGCATGTCCGTACTACTTTAACAATTCATGGATTGAGAGTATGCTTATATAATTAAACATCTAATTACACTAAACTACATTAAAATCTATCTCGTTTTCGAGGTAGAACTTTCGCAAATTTTAAATATATATTCCATTTTAAGTGCAACGAGTGTACACTAAGTTTAGTTACAAAAGATAGATCTTAAGGGGATGTTGAACTTATCTATATTACCGACAAAATCTTTTGTCTGTTTAATTTTGTATTAATTTTATAAATTTGGAAATTCTTTTTCACAATTAAAATTTATGAATACACATCTCTCATATCAACTTCGTAACTTCAAAAACGAAAAAAATTGTTTTAATTTAGATTTTTTTTATTATTCGTTACTCTAATATGGCATCCAGAGCTGTCAAATCGCGTTAACATTTGTTTTCTATAAATATTTTACGGCTTGTACCTATAAAATTAATATTGCTAAACTAGAAAATTACATGAAGAAACAATATTAAATTCATAGAATTAGGTTTAGATATCTGATGTACAAATATAAAAAGGTGACACGAATATTTATTTATATATGTGCAAAAATGTGTAATAAGTGTATGTATACATAAATGTATCTATGTATGTTTAAACAATGTATGTGTACAAATGTGCATGTAAACGCTTTTGTCGGAGTTCTTTCGTCTCTTCAACAGCGCCTTAAATATTATCGTATTACGTGACATTAGCAAAATCGGATTGTATCGATACAAGAATACTATGTTATCAGCTCTCGCTATTAGTTTCATTTTCGAACCAATGTCAGAGGACGCTCAACGCCGCGCCCTCGTTTCGGTAGGGTTGCGAAGCGCAGGAGCACGAACGTCGTTCTCCGGATTGCGAAGCGCAGGAGCATGAACGTCGTTCTCCGGGTTGCCGTCCGGCAGGAGTTCAGTCGGTGCCGGTCGGTCCCGAGAACCGTTTACATCTTGCGGGACGCAGTATCTAACATGGCAAGAAACATGTACATTTGATAGGGTGGTTCATTCGACAAAAGAGAAAGTCGATTTTAGCGCAGCGCACGATAATGAGCGAGTGAAAACAGAAAGATAAAAGAGAGAGAATAGGAGAAAGAGAAAGAGAGAAAAAGCGAAAGGGTCGCGATGAACAGATAGATACCGGTGCAACATTATCAATCGCGCATCTTCCAAACGGGAAGAAAGAGCACTACCCTTTTTTCGCACGCATAATCGTCGAGAGGAAGAGTGGCAGATCGAAAGTGGCGGACTACTAGTCGTGCTGTGACGGAAGTTAGGCGCTCTCGACGGTGATGCCCGTGACGAGTTGCAACGCGGGATAAAGGTGAGCGATTAATGTTAACTCCCCTGTTGTTGTCCACCAGGGGATTGGGTACAGCCATGAACTTAGAAGGAATCTCGATTTCGTAGAAATTTAGTTAGTTCCGTGCGTTGCCGAAGAAATGGGAAATTTGTCGGTCGCACTCGTGTCGTCCTGGTGTCGAAGGATTTATTTTGCGAAATTAGAAATGTAGCGAGATTTTCGTTCTGAGGCGGAAAACAAGTATAAAATAGACAGAAAGAAAATTGCGCTTAAATTTTATTAGTGTTAATTGTAAAACAATTTTTTTTGTTTGAATGATAGTAGCAGTTCTCTCTATTTTTTTATAGCCAAGATCAGCGCAAAGCGCTTTACAATATACGTTGAAATATTGGCAAATGTGAAATTTAGAGAAAATTTTATACTAGTTAATATATTGTGACTAATTTTAAAATAGTTGTTCTATCTAGACAAATACGTAAAATAAATTAAGTTGATTAGATGATAAGAACGTAACAAAGAGTGAAAGAAATCGTAGTGTCTATTATGTTGAAACGATTGTTAAAACAGAGAAAGATATCATGCCAAATCTATGTGTTTCGAGTAAGGAATTAATAAAGAAGATGAAAGAATAAAAGTTTCAAGTATTGGTGAAAGGTTGTCCTTAGTTGATTTTAACTTTCAATATGAATGGAGGAATGAGAAACGAAAGGAATACTTTTCCCGATAAGCTCGAGGCACAGTGAATTATTACAAACTGAAACAAATTGAAAACAAATTGAAAACGTTGTAGTTGTGGCTTTTATCTTACGATTCATTAAAACGAATGAAATTTTTGTTCGGATTGATAATATTAAGATTTCTAAAAATAAATACAAGCAATTATGTACTTCTGTATTGTATGTAAAATGATATTATCATAAAAGTTGAAAGAAGATGATTAATTGATTACTCTTGTATGATTAATCGACGTTCATTCATTAAACTTGAAAAAAAATGAAGCTGCATATAACTCAAATATTTTTGTAAATAAAACATGCATGTACGCACATTGATGAAATATATCACTCTGATTCTCTCTCTATAGACAATCGAAATAATATAATATAGTTATAATTATATATTTTTATATATAACTTATGCAGAAAAATTTTGAATAACTTATAAATTTTAATTCAGATTAATTACGATTTTCTGTGACGTGTTTAAGTCATTGATATGTGAAGTATAAAAATGAAATTTATTGCGTGAAATTTATTGCAAAAGAAACAGAAATTGCGTATACTTATATATTTTAGAACATATATATACGTTTGATGACAGGTTATTCGCTTTCAGATGGGATAATTATACTGCATTTCATAATTTTATATGAAAGAATATAATGTATGTGTGAAACATGAGACAGCGATATGTGTTTTGCATAAGAATAGACGATATTACGCAAGATCTTTTATTACGAACTTGCCAAAATGACAATATCGAATTCTTAAGAATTCTGTCTACAACTTCTACGTTTAACTCGATCCTTCCGTGATTTTACATATTGAAGATATTCGCGTTAGTGCCTGGGGAAGGAAGAGGTTGAAAAGGATCAGCATAAATTTCACGATTTATTGGCTCTCACAAGATGGCTAGTATATTATCAAATTCGACTTGGCAACGCATTTAGGGTTTTGCCCACCTGATTTATCACGAACATTAAATCTATTGGACGACCCGTTATCCTGTGAATGTGCAAGATTCTTAATACTCTTACGAAAGTAATTTAGGAAAATCCAATTAATTTTCCAATAGCAAAATATCGACATCTGTCTTTCGTTCGACGGACAGTGTTAATTTCTCGTTATCGCTAATAACCGTCTTCCCCTTGCAACAATCATGTCATCAATATATAATTTTAATTTGAAGGGTAAGTTTATTAAAGAAAAGCATGTACACACACATACACGCACACGCGCCACGCACACGCACACGCGCACGCGCACACGTACACGCACACGCGCACACACACACACACACACACACACACACACACACACACACACACACACACACACACACACACACACACTACACACACACACACA